AATACCTGACTCAACCATTTTTGAAGTTGCTACTTAACTCAGATTTATGAATTATTTGGTCAATAATTTTTAACTGCTTAAGGTTTTTTATTCAGTTAGTGTTCTATATTTAAAAAGAAAATATTGCTGATTAATATTCATATATTACTGAATTAATTAGTTTAAAAACTGGCTGTATTTTATGTATTATTATTGTTATTATTATTATTATAGCCTGAGTTCTCCATACATGGTTGAGTATAAGCAGAGGCTTATCAAAAGATTTTGAAATGAATGTTCTAGCCAAACTTACTGATCAGTATAATAATGATTAAAAATACTGGCACTAAAACTTATTTTCTGAGCTAATAATGAATCAATGTGCTCATCTTTATATTGAAAATTATTACAATAAAAATTTCCTAAAGCAATTAAAATAATTACATTAAATTAGTAAATGTGAAATGTTGGCACAGTGCCTACGACAGTGCCTAACACAGAGTGAACATTCAATAATGGTTAATCATTGTTCATTATGGCTCCATAATATTCTGTATTACTAAGTCACAAAATGTCATGGCTTACCCATCCCCCAAAGTTTAATTAGCTGTTCCATGTTAACTACATACTAGGTTTCTGATAGGAAGATCCTAAGTAAAACCAAATTGAAAACTAGACTCTGGGACTGGGGATTTAGATCAGCGGCATAAGCGCCTGCCTTGCAAGCAGGCAGTCGTGAGTTCGATCCCCGATACCAATAAACAAGAAAAAGACCAAAAAAAAAAAAAAAAAAAAAAAAAAAAACAACAACAACAAACTAGACTCTGACTGTACATCAAGTCCTGATATTAAGGTTATCATATAATTTCCCTGAGATTTTATCCTGTTTTTATCTTTTCACATTGCAATTTAAGCTTATTTTTTACATATATGAGCTGAAAACAAAGCCACTCTTTCTCTATATCTTTAGACAGCTCGTTTGGTATTATGTGAATGAAACCAAACAATGAATTCACATCCAGAAAACATGATGAAATGATAGACAGAAAATCAATAAGGATATGAGTGACTTGAACAACTAACTTATCAGCCAATTTGGCCTTACTGGTGGTTATAGAACAATCCAGCCAACAGCACTGGAACACATTTTTAAGAACATGCAGTACCTATACCAACAGAAACTAATGCCTGGGCCACAAAACACACCTTACTACATTAAGAAAACTTATGTCATAGTACATTTACTAGGCTCAACAGAATTAATAAATTAATCACAAATTTTTCTAATATTTTGAAATGACATAATATAATTTTAATAAGTCAAAGAACAATTGATAAATTAAATGGCAAAGTATCTACAAGTAAAGAAAACAAAATTTCAGTATATCAAGCTTTTGAGGATCACTTGTGAGGCTGGGGATTTAGCTCAGCAGCATAAGCGCCTGCCTTGTAAGCAGGCAGTCGTGAGTTCGATCCCTGGTACCAGTAAAAAGGAAAAAGAGGATCACTTGTGTGGTCAGTTTAGGAGAAAATTTATACAACAAATGTCTGCATAAAAATAAAAAGCCTCATGTCTGACTTTCTTGTACCTCAAGAAATTTAAAAAAAGAATAATTAACCACAAGTATACGAAATAAGAAAACAGTAATTATTGGAGAGAAAAATCTATGAAATATAAAACAAGAAAGAAAATCAATGGCACAAAAAGATGTTCTTTGAAAAGATCAATAAAATTTATAAACTTCTAGTGAGACAAATCAGAATAAAAGGGATAAGACACAGACTGCCAATATGAAATCAAAGAGGTTACACCATTAAAGATTCTGTGGCTATTACAGGACTAACCAGGGAAATATATCGTGTACAAGTCTATGTCAATAAATTGAACATCTTAAGTAAAATGGGTCAAATCCTTGAAACGGAAACAAACTACTGAAGTTCACTGAAGAATGAATTAATAACCAGAAAAACTCACTACATGTTAATGAAATTAAATTATTATAAAACACATCATGAAAGAAATTTCACATCTATATTGCTGTACTGGTAAATTCTACCACATATTTGGAAAATGATTACATTTTCCAGCCATAGTGACATACCACTAGAGCATCTAAAATTAATAGACTTGATTAAACACAGTTGATGTAAGTAAAGAAGAGAAAACACTAAAAGCCTAATATACTATTGGTGGAAATGTACAATACAATGGTAAAATAATAAAATTTAATATTTGGAAAGCAATTTAGTAATGTCTTAAAATATTAAACATATATAACATATGACCTGGATATTTTATTTCTTAAGTATTTACCCAAAAGTCATAAAAGCAAATGCACATACAGACATTTATACATGAGTAATACATGTAATAGCCCAAAACTGGATACAACAAATGTCTAGGTGAACGAATGAAGAAAATGCTTCCTAATTCTGTATTCCTCAACTTTCATGTATCTTGAAATAATTATATTGGCTGAAGAAAGGCAAATAAAAATAGCATGCATTATATGATTACATTTATACAAAACTCTAAAAAAGTCAAACTAATCCACAGCTTAAAAAACAATTAATGGGAGAGAGACAGGGAAAAGGCTTTAAAAGGAACATTAGACAATTTCCCTCAGTGCTGGGTAATTTCCAACTTGATTATGGTATTTTCACAGCATATGTATGTCAGAACATATAAAATTATGCCTTTTAAACATGCTGGTATACAATTTATTGAATTTCAATTACACTTCAAAACAGCTATCAAAGAAAAAAACAAATTGTTTTTTCTTGAGAAGTATTCATTGGAAATGGGTAGATTTTATCATCAGGTGAAACCCCCAGAGAAAGAACTCTATATCCAGTGGTCTTTAAACCATTATAATGTAAAGTTAGATGCTGGTAACTCAGAACTGTTTACAGTGGTGGTTCTGAGCATGGTAGAATAGATTGCTCATTTTTCATATTTGTACATTGACAAGGCTTTAAATAAAATGTAGAGAATTTAAGGTAATAATCATAGCATTTTCACTCTTTTCTACTGTTCTGAATCTTAACCGTCTTGAAAAAAAATTGAAATTTCCCCAAATCTTTGGGATTTTGAATGGATGTTATGTGCAAAAATGCATTCATAACATATCTATTCAAAATATTTTCCTGATTTTATGAATGCTGAAGTAAAACTGGCAATTACAAATAGCCTTAGAATTGAGAACAGGAGAGAGAAACTACAGATGTATCTCTAAACCTATTTCAAGCTATGTTAATGCATTATTTTCTGCATTATATTATGTTTAAACTGAATTTATGTCCAATAAAACTTAGCCCAAACCCCTCACATATGAAATTAAAGTTTTTATTAAATATGCCATAGTCTCAAGGTCCATCCATACAGTAATAAATGCCTCAAGTCTACTCTTCTTTATAGCAAAGTAGTACTGCATTGTATTAAAACATATTATCTATTCATCAATAAGCATAAATAAGTAAGCCACTGCCCTAAACTTCCAGCAATTTTTAAATTTAATTAAGTTTATTGGTGTAATTTAGGTATATGCAATGATCACATTCATCATAGGGAACTGGTATCTGCACATGATATACATTGTCCTTGTTTTCTCCTATCCCACTCCCCTGCAACCTCTCCTCCACTCTATCTGCAGTTTTTGTTTCCAATTTATCCTTCTTTTCTTATTTTTTTCTTTTCCCTTCCTTCCTTTTCCCTCCACCTTCCTGCTTTCACCTTCCTTTTAAACAGTTTCTTCCCATTTCTCCACATCTCTTACACAATTTGGTTCTTATTTACACTTTCAGTTTCTTATACCAGTGAGACAATGTTACATTTACACATGTCTAATTTATTTCTCTTAAGAGTATAGACTCGAGATCTCTGCATTTGACAATAAATGTCTCAAGTTTATCCTTCTTTATGGCAGAGTATTACTCTATTGTATTTTTAAAAACACATTATTTTCATCATACCATAACAATATATGTGCACCTATGTGCATAACAACAAAATTTATAAAACCTAAATTTTGGAAACAACCATTTATTCTTATAAAACATGAAAAGTAGCCTCTTTGAGCCAATGCAATGAGAAGTCACTGGAAAGGATATGTGTAACAGTTTGTATATTTACATATTATATACTACATTACTAATTAATAACATTTGAGATAGTCACTGCTTCCATATAAAACCCAACATCCAAATTATCATACCAAGGACTTGTGTATTATTATATGACTTTTAGTTATCAAGAACAAATATATTTCATAGAAAAATTAATATTAATATTTTCAAATGCATATTATTAAATCAATAAAAAGTACATAGAATTTCCAATAAAGGTATTTGAACATACACTATACATGACACTACTGTTTAAACATGTCTTAAATATTAAGTGATAAGCGTTAATCACTAAAATGTACACTTTCATGTTAAAATCAGAATCAGCTAGTGAAGATATGAGGAAAAATTTTAGTTCAGGTCACAATGGAAAAAACTGATTTCGCCTTTATTTTAAATCTAGTCACTTTTCTTGAAAGACTGGTTTTTAAAATTTCACTTTGTATCCAGGAAACATCCTTAATATTCTTTAAATAATATTTGTAAACTTCACATGTCATAGCACTGTCATTTACATTTGCATCAGTCCATCAAAATAAATATTCAAGAGGCATTGGTGAAAATAATTTGTCACTAGATAGGTCAGCTCTCTTACTACTAATAATAAAACTGATATTTATATGCCACCATTTGTATAGCAATTTCATGACATCTCTAGACATTTATTCATTAATATTTTCAGTATTGCCATGCATTAGTTAACAAACATTAATCTCCCTTTTACTGATTGATACAGCAGATTCTAACTCAGAAAATGACATAAACCTAGTGACTCTAACCATGATCCATTTCTGTTCACCAAGAAGAGAAAAATATAACACATCCATTATGAAATCATCTGATTACAGCAATTGTACAATATCAGTTGGCATGTGGTCTTATCTATCTAATCCCACCTTTTTGTATGCGATCCAGTCAAACACTCTGTCAATATCTGTTGCTTGTTGCACTTCCTGGGACACTGGATGTGAGCTGGCCAAACCATCAAGCAGCATCACTTCATGCAGAACATCTGTAAGAAATCTCTGTTTTTCCTGCAATACAACAGATAATATAATATTAGAGACCATTCATGGTTAAAATAAAATGTGCAAAACACAAAGACATAGTCTGGTCATATAAATGATATTCACCAGTATTATATGTTGAGACAAAAACCTTAAGACAGTCAGCATATTAAGTACCCCCATGAGAATTCTGTAAAATAGAGGTAGCACAAAGGAGTCAAAAATCCATGGATTGCAACAGGCCCTAAATACTATGCACGAAAAATAGAGAACTCTGTTTCAGCAGTGGTTAAAGCAAATTTGGAAAGTAACACATAGGAAAATGATAAGCTGCAGCCCTATTATGCCTTCTACAGGACTGAGAACACAATTTACTCCAGAAAACATTTTAGGTAAATTCAATATAAGAACATTATCTTGCCATTTAACATCACGTATTTGTAGTCCATGAGGACAGCTCCTTCTCTATAAGATTATGCCTCCCTATATGTGATGCTTTCGGAAAGAAATCCAAGACACAAAGACATACAGCGAAAGACACTTTTACATCAATTCACAACACTTATCAATGTATATGTGAATTTAGAAGAATGAACACAAATAGAATCATTAGGTGTTAATAATCCATTTGTGTTAATGAAAACAGATAAAATCATAAGACTTTCAGTCTCTGCATACAGACACATTAGTATTTATTCTAATAAAACAGATTGGTTATGTCAGGAGGTGATCCTCTGTTGTTTTAAGAAAATCCACTTTACAGTTTAGACTTTCTTTTTTTTTTTTTTTTTTTTTTTTTGACTAGGGATCAAACTCACAACCTCGCGCTTACCAGGCAGGCACTTGTGCCACAGAGCTAAAGCCCAGCCCCAGTTTGAATTGCTTAGCAAAAATGCTATTCTTAGCTTTCCTGGAATTCTGTCTTCATTGATGGAGAAAGGGAAAAAAAAAGTTGCAAGAGACAACAAGGGCTAAATAACGCCTAAAAAATTGGGACCCAAGATGTATCATTCCAGAGATTAAAGGTTCCAACATTCAAATTGTGCTACTTAATTTGAAGTTTATTCTAAAAGCCTCCTAGTTTTGAGATTGCAGATAAATAACAAGTTATTTCTGAATCCTAATTTTCAGATGAGTGCAACAATGAAATGTAAAAAATGATTAAGTATGCTAAGGAAAGAGTAATTAACTGGGCATGTATAACCATATATATATATATATATATATATATATATATATATGTATGTATATTCAAAATCTGGCTTTAGAGAATAGTTTTGGTCATTTCAACTATTCAGTGACTTGCTAAGTTTAGTTAGTAGCTAGCTACCCAACTGTATTGTGTGAAGTTTATTTGCCAACAGCTTAGCCAGCACTGCCTCTAACACTGAACTAGACTCTGAACCCTGTATGAGACCTTACTATATCTGTTGGGGAGACTTAAAATAAGAAATTTAAACATTAATCTTCTTATTCTTAAAGAAGATTTAAATCATCATTCTTTTCCCCTTAACTTTTACAGGGTAAGGAAATTAATTTGTGAAGTATAATATTAGTTTATGTCACATCCCTGAGATACCAAAGATGAAGTTCAGATATAGCCTGAATTAAGTGACAAATACAACATAAACTAATTAAGAGCAACGCACCATTCCTAGCACCTAAAAACAACCATACATATATGCATACAAGAAAAGACTAGGCAAATGACTTGGAATGCGAGAATAAGACAAAAATGATCAGCCTCCAGCATTGACAAAAAAAAAAAAAGAATCATGCAATTCCAAAATAAAGCAGAAAATGTTCTTTTTAAGCAAATATGTAACCCTGTAACTTAATTTAAAAATACATATTTTTTGCTGGGGATTTAGCTAAGTGGCATAGGCGCCTACCTGGAAAGCACTAGATCATGAGTTCAATCCCTGATACTAAAAAAAACATATTAAAACTATCTGAGGTTAGAATTTGTGGATAAAAATTATGCAATATATAATACTCATTCAATGAGCAATGAACATCTTAATTACCAAGAAGTTCCAACTGAAGATATGAGTCTATGCTAAAGATAAAATCACATTCAGCTCTTTCAATAGTGACTTACTGCTCTACTACAAGCCATTCAAACATCTAAAGTCACATGAAAAAGAACTTAAAACAATGCCTTATTCAATCTTAAATTTTAATACTTAGCAAAAATAAGTATGTATAGATAACATTAAAAATTAATAAATGTATCTTTGTCTTGCTAATGATGTAATTGTTAAAGTGATATAAAATAAAAGGCTGTGTAACTTTAAAAATGAAATTAAATTTCAGGAGTAACTTTCCTATTAAAAAGCACATATAAATTATATAATATTAAATTATTTCAAGCTTCTGGGGAAAAATGAAAATAAACCTTTGCCTAATGAATGGAATTTTGATAAGTAATATTTTAATTTAATGGAGTAAAATTATTAGCAAAATATTCATCTTCTACACTGTTAGAGAGAACTATATGATATGATGGAGTAGAAAATTTATACACATAAAAAGGCTAAGAGTTTAGAATAGATGGTATCGGACCGTGGCAGGGTACACTCATAAAACACAGGAAAAAAGAGTATTTTAAACTGAGGGGAAAAAAGAAGAGAAAGACCTTCTAAAAAGGAAGTTGTGAATATTTCATAAAGGCCTATGTAACTATTACATAATCGATGACCATAGCTCATCAGGCCTGATTAGAGTTCTCATCATTATCAATAGCAACATCGACAGTAACAATTGTGAAATTATCACATGTAGATTAATTGCTTGAAAATGAAGTAAGACATAGCCTAGTTCTAATGCTGCATCAGAGATAAAACAAAATACATGACCACAATGAAGGAAAATAATACTTTTCCACCATGTGGTAGAAGTGTTAAAGGGATTGTAAGGAAAAAAAAATCTATAAAATACAATTGTTCAGTTTTTTCTGGAAGGAAACTTGTTTTACTCTTGAAGAACACTTTAAATTTGGTATTTGTGTGTGTGTGTGTGTGTGTGTGTGTGTGCATGCATATGCCTATTTACTCAGGGAAAACTATATTTATCATGAATATTCAACAATTAGTTCTTAGTTTACTTCATATGTTACAGTTTGTGTCTAGACATCCCCCCAGAGCCTCATGCAGTCATTGAGACATGACCCTGTGGTTGATTCATGGTGCAGTGTTGGGATTATGGGTGTGAGTGCTACATATGCCTGGGGTAGGTAGCTTGTATACAATATAAGGGGCAGAAAGAGTCCTCCCTGTCCTTCCCTTTTCTCTTATTGCTTTTGCTGTCTACTGCTGCTTTGAACAGTTGCCCTTCAACATGCCACCCTGCCTTGCAGCCAGCTGCTTGTGGACTGAAACCTCCGCAAGTTCTTTCCTTCCTCAATTTTGGACATCAGGTATTTTGTCTCATCAAATAGAAAAAAGTAACCAAAACAGTCACCATGATTGGTCACATATGACTTTCAAAAAGCAACACAATAAAGCAAAATGGAGAATTTTAAAATCTGTTTAAAAGAAATTCAATGTTAATAGTATCCTTAAATCCTACCACCTTACTGTTCACACTTTGTAGAGTTGCTATGTACTCTAACTTCACGCAAGGAATCTCACAGAGAGCATGAAAAAGAGGTGTGCAACACACAACTCAAAGTATAAGCCTGAGTCCAAGAGGCAAGTGTTAAAATCCCTTTGTCAACACATATATCTGTATATGAGGCTTCAGAAAGAATTCATCCTTTTAAAAAGCTACTTTGATAATAGCATTTCATATGTTGGTATGAAGGATTATTGTGAAGAGAGTTAATCCTTGTCACAGCATGACATAAAACTGAGGAATTATATCTCCAAATATCTCAATGTGGCTTCCGCCTCTATATGGTAAAGTCTAATGAGTCTAGCCACAATCACGAATGGATGGGAAGACAGTTAAAGGAAAAGGCATGCAAGTTCCAACAGGGATGCTAATTTTAGTGAAGAGTGATATGAGGAAGATATTTTGACATCAGGAGAGACAGACAAAAAAAATCAGAATCATGATTAAGAAAAAAAAAAAAACACATCAAACCAGAGACAAGTAGATGACATCCAAGACTGGGCCAACTCAAATAGTGTTGGAGTGTACACAAGCATAGAGAAAAGAAAAAAAAAAGAAAAGTCTCAAGACAGACATGGGTTGCATCAGAGCAGTCACAAGGACTCAATTAATTTTCTAGGAGGATGGATCTGAACATAAATGACTCTTTCAATATTCCTAGGAGAAAAGACAAGCACACTACTGCAAAGTTGGTGAAAAAGCTCTCAAGTGGAAAAAAAAAAGTCATTCACTAGCTGCATGACCTTGAGCGAGTTGCTCAAACTTTTTAGACTCTGACTTCCTCATTTGTAATCATGTGTGGCTGCAAAGATTAAATAAGTGAAACCACTCTGCAAATATTTATTAAGTACCTGCTATATCTAAAATGGTATGACTAGTTCTGAGGACAGGCAGATACAAAGAAATGGAGTCTACATTCAAAGACGTAGGAGAGGCAAAGATGAAAACAAATATTAAAATACAAACCATTTTAAGTAAAACTGTAAGCAGGTTCAGAACATAGTGTGAATACACTGAGAAGGCTGTGATTTGTTCTGCCTGAGTGAGGGCAGGAAAGCTTCTGAGGTGATAGTTTAAATTGAATTTTTAAGGATGATTTGATCAGAGAAAAGGGTATTTTGGACCAAAAGGGATTCATTGAAAAAGTCAAGGAAAGCTTTCAGCATGGTTTTGCAGCACATCTACAGAGTTTTGTGTAGCAAGAGTCATGGAATGAATTACTATAATGAGCATAAAAAGATAGACAAGGACAAAATCATCAAGGATTATCTATGCCAAGTAAGGAAACAAGTTAGGAAGTGACATCATCAGATCCACATGTAGAGAAGTACGAATAAATAGAGGGAAAGTGAACCGACTGATGAGCAAATGGAAACAGAGAACTAGAACAGGACTGGGTAATTATGCACAAG